TAGGGTACCACAGCTATGGTTATCCTATTGTCTACCATTGCAGGCATGGGTGGAGAAAGACTGAGGACAATTACAGAAGCCCTGTGCTGCGCAGGCTTCACACCGAAGTGATTTTTAAGAATCGCGTGTATGTGTGTGTGTGTGTGTGTGCATGCACGCATGTGTGTGTGCAGAGAGAGCAAGCATTTCACAGTGTATGTAATTTTAGTTCAATTAGAATAGGAAGACTATTAACAAGTTATTTTTAAATGCACCGAGGATCAGGAGCTGTATTAGAATTAAATTACGCCATGTGAGGCTGATTGGCAGGCCATGTAATGTGGAAAAGTTCACAGTCTGGTCTTTATCAGCACAGTTTGCAAAGTAGGCCTGAAAGCCATGTCCTCAAACCCATAGTCTGGAGCTATAAATATTCAAGTTAAAAAAAAAAAAAAAAAAACCTAATTGGAAATATGATAAACAACGATTAGGAAGCTTATTTTAAGGAGCAAATGAACAAAATAAGCAGATGCCAACCAACTGCGGTGACTTTTAAGAAAAAGGATGGACGCACTTGTTTAAATAAAAGGTTTCCTGTCTGTCACCTAGGGAGGGAATTTCCCTCTGACTGCACTATTAGCATGTCATTTGCATAGAGAATTTAAAGCAAAAAGTATCACCACAAAATAGAAACTCCTGGGCACAAAGAGCCTACATTCAAAAGCTGCTGACTGGTGCAGGGGACTGCGTCCCTGTAGAGAGCACTTGGAGACATTGCCAAGTGGAATGCTCCTGACCTTGTGGGCAAGAACTGAAATAACCCTGGCAAAATGGGGCTGGCAGGGGCTCAGATGACCTTGGCTCCTATTTTGGCCGAAGCTCTTGGGCAGGAGCCCAGAGTCCATGTGCCTTTGAGGAAGGACTTTCTCTCCCTGGGCTCCCTGATGGACTGCCCTTCCCTGCCAGTGCAAACTGCATCTTCCTCCTTTGTATTTTAGGCTAAGGGGTCAGAACCTCAAGCACTCTATCTTGCCCTCTAACTCCAGCTTCATCTCTTGTTCAAATGTGAGTGTGGGCTCTGGTGTCTGACGGTCTCCGTTCAAATCCCAGCCTCAAGGTTGCTAACTGTGGGACTGTTAGCAAAACCTTACTCTCTGCCTCAATTTCCTCATCTCTAATACAGAGGTATCTCATAGGTGTGTGATGAAGATTAAAGCAGATAAAAAAAGTGAAACAGAGAATAGTGTTTGGCACTTACTGAGTGCTCAATATGTTAGTAATTTATATGGATTTGCTTCCTTGTGTGGAGCTAACTTCAATCATTCATATTCACATCTTCTGTAGCTGCCAAAAATAAATGCCATTATATACTTAATGCATTTAAAAAATCAATCCTAGTTTTTAAACTCAGCTATATTTTAGGTAATAATATTTGTGAAGGCCTAGGCTTAATGTGTTTATTTTTTCTAATACACATTAAAATAAAAACAGATCCACTACAATAAAGTTTTTAAAGGTTGACACAATCAGAAATCACCTGAAGTGTACATTTCACACATTAGGCAGACTGTCTACACATATTCATCTTTCAGTGGTTCTTTTAGCAAGAATTTAGACCATGTTTATCATGTGAGTGGAAAGTTGGGCAATAGACATAAAAACAGCATCTTCCCTGCCCTCATCGAGCAAACAGACACACAGGGGAGAGTTGAGAAACAATGATACAGCCCTGTAGGTGAGTAGCAGGGCCTTCCATTATGGGGTGGGGGGCGGCGCTCTCATCCAGCTGGACAGACCAGTTCCTGCAGGAGACAGCATGAAGTAGAGAGAAGAACCAAGCATTATTCCAAATTATTATTCTGGGACAACTACTTGACTATGTACCAAGAGTCTATGTCTTTGAGACTTTTGGCTTCTTCCTTGAGTTCTCTGAGCATGATTTCTCATCTGTAAAATGGGCATGCTACCTAGCTCACAGAGCTAATGGAGGATTAAATCTGCTGCCACAGCAGGTACTGAGTGAGAGTTCACCTTTAATAATCGCTGAGGATAGAAACCTTTCTGTTCTACAGGCCTGTGTATGTGCCCAGTTCTCCTCTGGGTTGCTAATACTCTCTAGGCTTTACCTCAAAATTTGCCTCTTTGGGAAAACAGCTCTTGGCATACTAAACTGACTTAATATTGACCAATATGTATGGAAGGCTTCCCAAGTTCAAGATACAATTCCAAGAGCCTTGCATATATTTCTTGTCACAATGGTATCTTGATTAGGATGAGGTCTGTAAAATTCCATTGCATACATAATTAAACTGAGGCATGAAGAGGTTTGGTGACTTGCTCAGGTCACACATGGAGATAATCACTAAAATTAGTAACCACTAAAGTTGCCAAGTTGTTATTTAGGATAGGATATAACTAATGCCCACAGTAGTACAGGACCACATCATCTAGCTCAGTGATTCTCAACTGAGGGCAATTTTTGTCCCCCTAGAAGACATTTGTCAATGTTCGGTTGTCACACTGTGGGTGAGTGCTACTGGTATCTAGGAGGCAGAAGTCAGGGATGCCGCTATACAACCTACAATGCAGAGGACAGGCCCCTGCCCAAAGAATTGTCTAACACAAAACATCAGTGCTGAGATTTAGATACTTTGATATAGCTACTATTATATAACAATTTAGAACCCAGCTGATAATTCAGAAGAAGCCACGGTTTCTCAGATTTCAAAATAGGTAGCTCAAAGTTGGGGTAGAAAACCACATATGTTTTGTCACAAGAAAGCCTGTTAAACAATGACCTGCAGCCAACTGCTCAAGGCACATTTATCTGGTGATACAGATATGCTGATTAAAAGCCCCAAGTGGGATGCTGTGGCTAAGCAGAAAGAAAGAGGGAGGAAACATGACACCTGGCAGGAGTCAAAAAGACAGTTAATGGCCAGCTGCTATGTAAGAAAAAGAGAAAATTTAAGAAATGGGTGTGTGCTCTTAGCGGCAGCCTCGGCTACGCCAAGCCCTAGAAGCAGTTACTTTGATGGAGGCAGCTCCCTGGGTGCTGGGGTGAGGGGAAGAGACTAAGATGGCAGCCAGGAGATGTAGAGAGACCATGCCAGGGGCCTGGGATAAGGGTTGGGCCACCGATAGCATCTGTTGCATCTCATATTATTGAACTTCTGTGAATGCTTTATAAAAAAGGGACCCAAGACTGCTAGTTGAAGAAGAGCAATGAATATGGAAAAGTTGGAGATTTGTCTCATGATTTTTTTTTTTTTTTTTACAAAAACTGCAACATACCCAAGTGAGGCTCATGGTCTTAGCTGTTATGAATAGGAACAGGAGGCAAGAAGTTGACCTGAGTATTTTTGCTTTATTTAATCTAATAAACATTTTATTTATATAAAAGATGAACGATGTACAGTATGAAAATAAGTGCTTGAGACATTTGATATAAAAAGAGTATATAGCATTCACATTCCTATTTTAATACATGAGTACGGCTGAAGTGTTCCATAAAAGAATAAAACTTTCCCTTTATGTATAGTAGTTTTAAAAAGTCAGTATTTTTAGGAACTACAGAATGTTATTCCTTGGTCTTTTTCTTGAACAAGAAAAAAGTACATAAACAATACAAGCCACAGTATCATCTGATACTACATTCCAGTTTATGCTGATGATAACCCAGAGTGATAAAAGCTCTTTTGGATCTTGGAAGATCCCATTAATGGACCGGTATTCTAGGAATTCACCACTAGAGGTCAGTAAGCAACAGCTATTGGGACGGCATCAACAAGCCTTAAAGTGCATGGAATTTCTGGGCACTTGCGTGGTACTGCAATCAAATTGTCCTTCTTAACTCTCTCAGCCCACCCCGACGGAGCAGGGTCCCTAGAAGTTCCACCTAATCCCAAACTTCTGCCTGTCTGCTAAAACCCAATGAGAAGAGACATTCCAAAATCCAAATAGAGCTGATTTGCTCACTGCTAGTCCCACTCTTGTATTCCTATTTGGCCGAAATTAAGTAGCTTCAAAACATTTTTTAAAAAAGAGATTATTTGCAGCATTAACACTTGTTTGTGAATTAACAAGTTTCCTATGGAGTATTAAAGCTCATTCTTTGTTCTTGTCTATGTGAACACAGATTTCCTAACTGCACATGGGACTCTTGTGTCCCACACTCAAATCCTCACCAGCAAGTTCTGCGAGGTTTGGGAAGGCTGGTATGATGGAGACACTGGTAACCATGACGAAAGCCTCTGGGAATAAAGGGCTCCCGTCCCTAATGCATAGGGAAAAGCTCTTAATATGCAGACAAAAGAGACTTGGGTTAACCAGGGCATCTTAGAAGAGGTCCCCTTTAGTTTCCCTCTCCCCGCGAAAAACAGGCCAACTTCAAATCTTAACACATGATCTGGTAGAGAGAGGGAATCAAAGTCATAATAATACAGCCAGAGAATGACTGCTTCTGAATGCACATTTCTTACAAAGCACATTGGTTAGGGGCAGGTTTAATTCCCAGACTGGGATGGGGGTGAGCGGAAAACACAAATGTTTACATCAAGAAGTGAAGCAGCTTTATAAGTGTGTCCACACCTTCATTTTGTGAATGACATAGATGGAGAGAGAACTGGAAACCATCTGCTATCTATTCTCACTTGAGGATTCAGAATTTTTTTTTTTTTGTAAAATCTCCAAATATTTAAAAAGTGGCTCAATTTTGTTAAATGTTGCGCTGGCCAAGCAAAACACATGTTCAGTGTGCCTGAGGAAACTCCTGACTGGCAGTGGAGTGCAGCTCAAATTCTTTCCACTAGCTCAAAATATACTTGAGTGTTCAGGAGCCCCGAAGATGCATAGAAAGCTAGAAACTCAAAACACGCGTGAGGAGGAGTTAAACACAATGAACCCCAGAGGGGCGATTTGTTCCCTTTAAGGAAGGGGAGAAGGGCTGGGAGTGGACAATAGTAACACAAGTGTATGGGGGGA